ACTTTCTTTCTTTCTTTCCCAATATTTTCTTTCATTATCCCTTCTTTTCTTCATACCTATTTCCTTTCAAAAAGAAGTTGACTTATATGTGAAAAAGGCTATATGAAGGGATATAATAGGAACACTACATGAAAAAGCAATCCAAAGACACAGGAAGGAAAATCTACAGAAGGTTACTGTAATTACTATCATATATGTCTGAGATTTCTGGAAATCCATGGAAAATGAAAAATACTAAAAATTCTGTAACTTTCATTATGAGATTATATAAATGTTACCAGTCTTATAAGGAAAGGCAGATAGTGTTTGCACTGATTACTAAAGGAAATTTCACACAAATTCTTATAAAGTAATAATACAGTGGAAAACATATGCCTTGAGAAAACTTTGTACCAAATATGGATGAGTGTGTCATCTGCCTCTTACTCTAAAATAAATAAACTCTGATAGCATCTGAGAAAGTAATGTTACAGTAGATCATGTTGTCCAAGGTGTCCAGATAATGTCCATTGAGAGCCTGTCTCTTCGACAATCTCCTAGAAGTATCACATCTCTCAGTCATATTTTTGGTAGAAATGCCAGCAATTTGTTTCCTTCCTAACATCAGCACACCTGTAAAACAACAGAGAATAGCTACCAGAATGACTCTCGCTTCCCTCCTGCTATTAACACAGTAGCTGCACAAAGAAGGAAATTAATTGGGCTAAGATAATTTTAAATGTCAGGACCAGCAAATCTAAAATAAGTAAACTTACCAGTTTGTGAAGAATTATCATAGGGCTAAGTGAGTGTCAGATATATTGCCATAACAGTAGCAAGCAGTAAGCAATTTAAGTCTATCAAATTCATCCATGATGTTTGTTTTGCCTAATCACTTTCATGTGATGACTCCTAGCTGGATGACCTTTGCCATCACATCTCTTCCATCCACCATACCCTTGCCTATAAAATGCTCTCCCTCTACTACTATCCCACCAAATCAATCCTCTTCTTCCACTCCAATCTGAAAAGAAGGTGCATCCTTCTCCAAAAAGCACTTTTTAGGATAATCCTACCTGGCTCTATTCATTACTTAAACCTTTTGGGGTGTGAAATGAGCTGCAGTGCCTGGCTGCAGTATTTGCAGCATACATCATTCTTTTTAGCTTTAGTGTGTCCAAAGGCTTTAAACATTGGTACCTAAGCTCCTGCTTCAGGGGAGAATTCTTATCAGAGCAAATACAGTCTGAGGAGTGAGACAAAAGAGAAAGGCCTGAAAAGAGAGGAAGAAGATTTAATACCATGCAAGTGGCCCTGGGATATCCTTTTTTCTTTCTCTTGAATTCACTTGAAAACATATTCTTATGCTCCATCTATGACCTCAACAATAATAATGGCTACATCTGTTTGCTTCTTTTTTTCACATACAATAAAGTTCCTGAAGTCAGAGGAGCCCTCTGAGTGTGCATATCTCATAAAAATGATAATAAAGGTTTAGAAATAGGTGGCTAGAAGCACTAGTATGTCAACAAGGTAATGCTAAACAGTGTTTCTGTGTGATACCAAACATCTCTGATTTCAAACCGCTATGTAAATATGTGATGGACTTATCTCAACCTGCAGATCTAGAAGGTTTCAAGACTTAGAAAAAGTAATTGTCCCAGAGTGCCTCTCGAAAAATTAACATTCAGTTTCTTTGCATGCACAGGAACGGAGGCGGGAAGCCCCTCGCTTGTGTGCATTAGTTTTGGAACTTAATATATCATGTACTCTCTGACCAATTCAATTTTTCAGTAGTTCCAAAATGTTGTCTTTGAAATTGGTGACTTAATGGGATTGCTAACCCTTTATTTTGTCAATAATTTTTTAAAAGATTTTATTTATTCATTTGAGGGGGAGAGTTACAGACAGTGAGAGGCAGAGAGAGAGAGAGAGAGAGGGAAAGGTCTTCCATCTGCTGGTTCACTCTCCAAATGGCCGCAATGGCTGGAACTAGGCCAATCCAAATCCAGGAGCCAGGAGCTTCTTCCAGGTCTCCCACATGAGTGTAGGGGCCCAAGGCCCTGGGCCATCCTCTGCTGCTTTTCCCGGTGCATTAGCAGGGAGCTGGACCCAAAGTGCAGCAGCTGAGACTCGAACTGTCACTCATATGGGATGCCGGTGCCACAGATGGAAGGTTAACCTACTGTGCCACAGTGCCGGCCCCATCAATAATATTTTAATGTGTTTTCATTGCCTCATCTTTCTTGAGACAATGAATAGTTTGTTGTAAACTTCTGCTACCGTGTATTCTGCTTCTTGTGCATACAAACTGGAATAACTTATGTTCAGTTAGAAAAAGATGAGTCTGACTTAGCAAAATTTGAAATGCAAGTAGTCCATTTTGAATTAAACTCCAAATTTTAATATCTGCCACTGAAAACTGGAAATTTTCATATAAACTGATGGTCACTATATAGTACTGTTAGGTTGTTAGTATCAATATTCATTTAATGTTTGTCTATATTTTGTTTCTAATTTCCAGAGATATTAATAGGTCTCTTCAAGTTCCTATCCAAGGGACAGGAAAGGAAAAATAGACAGGAAATTGAAAAGTCTAGACTCTACATCTCTGAAATATATTAAGGAAACATCCTCCAAGATATTTACCCACTACTGATGAGTGCCTAAAAACGGATTATCAGGTGGCTAGAAATCACCTTAGAAGTACAAGAGCAGAGACTCATGCAAGTAGAAGAAAACAACATCTATTTGGGCATCTATTTGGGTTTTCTGACAGCTAGAGAACTTGTTGTAACACAGAGCATGGGACCCTCAATCCAAGAGGTTCTGGTTCTTGGCATGGAGTGAGGCTAGAGTATTTGTATTTCTTTCAAAAAATTATTTGTTTATGTTTTGAAAGGTAACAGGGGGAAAAAAGAAGAGAGAAAGAGGAGAAATCTCATTTGCTGGTTCATTTCCCAAATGCCCACAAACTGTGGCTGGGTCAGGCTGAGGCCAGGAGTCTGAAAGTCAATACAGGTCCCTGGGTGGATGGAAGGGACCCAAACACTTGAGCCATCAATGTGCCTCTTGGGGTGTGCATTAACAAGCAGCTGAGATCAGAAACAGAGGGCAGCCTCCAACCCAGGCACTCCCATATTGGATGTAGGTATCTTAAGTGTGTCTCAACAACTACACCAAATGCCCATAACTGGGGACTTTCACTTCTAAAGCGTTTGCTGATAAAACTCATGCTTCCTGTCTGCAACATTTGGACAGACAGGACTGGGTCTGGTTAAAGCTGAGAACTGGGAACTTGATGTATGTCTCCCACACAGGTGGCAGAAACCTAATTATTGGTGATGACCACTGCCTCCCAGGGTCTGCATTAGCAGGAAGTTGGAATCAGGAGCAAGAGCCAGAAATAATCCAGGCACCCCAATAAAGGACTTGGGAGGTTTTACCACTAGGCCAAAAACACATCCCTCACTCATATTTTTAAAATCCAACATGAATGCGATGAATTCTACCAGAATTATCCTCAATTGTCTGTTTCAAAGTCCTCTGAAATCTGTTTTGATCCTCAATCTGTCTTCTGTGAAAGTGTGAGTCCTTAAACATAGCCATTCTGCATTAGTGATGCCCTCACTACCTGGGTGTTACTGACCTTCTACATCCTTGGCTGCTTTTGAGTTTTTCATGCCCACTTTGTTTCCTACCTCTAGAAACTGCATTTACATAAACACTTAAATAAAATGATTCTTCTCTAACAAAACCAACAAGGTCCATCTTTCTGTTGATAAATCTATTTCAGATTTTATTAAAGTAATGGTAATAGCTTTGAATGCTTGAGTTACTTTTATCTGCTGGTAAAATAAAATTCATAGGGTGCTAAATTCTGGGACTCTCAATAAAGCCTCCACTGCCCCAGATCTCTGTTCAGTGGATTAAAACTACCAGACATTCTCAGTTCATACAAAGCATTCAGAAAGACAGGAACTACCCTCTGCTTAATTCTTCTCTTTTTAATCGTAACTCCGAGTGTTTCTTGGAAATATCCTACATCCAGACAGGAAGGCTCAGTGCTCACTGTAGTGTGGGAAGACATTGGACTATTTTTTTTTCAAGAGGCAATGAATAAACCCAGCAAGCTTCTTCAGTAGGTAGGAATAGCATCATCTTCCTGCTGACTAGCAGAAGATAGCAGAAACCAGGACATTTATAGCCTAACACATATTTTTATGTCAACATTAAAATCTGGAATAAGCAAAAGGCAGAAAAACATTTAGGAATTGAAAGCTTAAGGTCTCTGTCTAGAGAAAGAAAGGATAATGAGAAATCTTTAGTTAAGACTCACATTTGAGAGCATGGATATAACAGATTTCAAGGAATAGAAAGCCGATGGGTTTAAATGTCTTGTCACATGTAAGTGTCTCTTTCTCCACCCTGTGGTAGAACATCAATTGACACTCCCCAGTGGAAGATACATACTACTCCCTTTAGAGCAATCACATGACTCTGACTTTAAATTCGGGCTTATTAGGCTTTGAATTCAATGTAATATCAGGAACAAAGCACCCTGTTGAATGATAAATATAGATTATCTTCATTTCCTATGTTGTTCTTAAGGAGCATACATTCTTTCCAGAAGAGAAATGCACTTAACAAGATAAAGACTTCATAAATTATGATGCAGCAATTTTGTGAAATTGACACTCCGAATCTATCATTTTAGAGTTATTGGGCAACACAGAAAAAGTCAAATGAGAAAAAAAATCAGTTGATAAAATGATATGTGCAAGTGAAAACAAGGACTACAGATATTATGCATAAATTAAAATGACATTCTGTGTCATTATGGGTAATTCTATGGATATGCACTATCTTTCAGAGAGCAAAACATATGAAGTTTTATATTAAAATATTAATTCCCTCATGTGGAATGTCATAATTTCATTCAATGTCCACAGCATTAAGTAACTAAAAGTGTAGCTTATGGTTTCTTTATTTGCTTCTGTCTATATGTCTATTTTCCCTAGGAATGAAAGCTCATCAACGCCAATCTTCTCTACTGAAACTGGACCATTTGTGAAATTAAACACGGCGCCTAATGGTAGCTTAATTCTAACACCAAGGTAGGTCTAAGATTTGTTCTTGATAAAATTGTACATGAACTGGGAAAGGGATAGATTTTTTAAATCCAGACATATTTGAATGCTGCCACATAATGGCCATAAAATCTTGAAAGTTATTTGACTTTCTCTATTCTTTCATCAAATACTATCCAACCAATCCTATCTGATGACATTGCCTAGCTCTTTTATATAGGATAAGATGGTCAAATTAGAGTTTTCTATGTAACTTTTTACTACACCAGGGATTTGATAAGTTCAAATTCCATACATTGCTTTATTTTTGCCCTTAGATTCATTAAAAAAATGAATGCGGTAGAAATTGTGAGACCTAGGATAAATAAGTCCAATGTTGATAACACTAAAAAAGTGACAAAAATTAGTTTCATTAAAGACAATACTGGGGATTGGAGGAAATGAGTGTATTGTTTTCTCTTTATTAGCCAATAGAACATGAATATTATCTAAAAGAGTATAGACTTGTAGTTGTACTATGCATTCCATTTGCTTTTTAAAATTAGATTTATTTGCACCTTAGAACCTTAGGTACTAATAAGCAGAATCCTCCTGGTTTTCAAAGCTCTATTTTAGCTTACATTTAGTCATTTCTCCTACATGGATGTTAGCAACACTTTTTTGCTTGAAATTGTGCAGTTGGATTCTAAAGTTTACAGCTGCATTAAATGCCAGGTGTGGGCAGGAAGAATATAACTCTAAGAAGAAGCTGTAACTACAAAGATTTAAGATGCTATTGCAAGATATTTTGTTTTACATGCTTAATGGTTAAAAATGAAATTATATAATTAGTCAATTATTCATGACAATTTTCCATTTCTGTGTGCTAAACTAGTAAAATAAATTGGTAAAGGAGTATTTTTAGTGCCAATAAAGGTACTTTGCAGTTGAATGTTTTATATCAGTGTTTGCTGGGCCCTGATTGGTATTATGAGTCTCACTGGGGATAAAGCAAAGCACATGGAAGTGATGGGGCAGGATTCTAAGTTTTCTTTCTGTATGATTTATCTAAATTTATACAGTCATTATAGATCTTGAAGTAGCTTGTTCACTGAGAATTTCTTCTATTCATATCTTACTTAAGAATCTTCAAGGAAAAGCAAAGGAATTTTAGAAAAAAATTCATCTTAACTTTATAAGTATTTCAGAGCAGAGCTAAGCTAGTAAATACTTAACAAAAAATGCCAGTTACAGGTCAGAGGTTATAGTGCAGCAGGGTGAGCCACCACTTGGGGTGCTTGCATCCCATATTAGAGTGCCTGGGATGGAGTGCCACCTCTGGGTTCTAGTTTCCATCCAGCTTACTGCTAATGCACACCATGGGAGGCGGCAGATCATGAATGAAGTACTTGGGTCCTTGCCACATGTGTGAAATATACGGATGGAGCTCCTGGCTCCTGTCTTTAGCCTGACCCAACTGTTGCTCTGAGGGCATTTGGTTAATGAACTAGTAAATGGAATATATCCCTCTCTATCTATCTTATTGTTTGCTCTCTTACTAGATACATAAATAAATAAACTTTTTTTTTTTGCAAAGATCACTTTAACTTTATTTAGGAGAATGAGTGTTCTTTTTTTTTTCTTTCAAACTTTTATTTAATGAATATAAATTTCTAAAGTACAGCTTATGGATTAGAATAGCTTCCCCCCCATAACGTCCCTCCCACCTGCAACCCTCCCCTTTCCCACTCCCTCTCCCCTTCCATTCACATCAAGATTCATTTTTGATTCTCTTTATATACAGAAGATCAGTTTAGCATACATTAAGTAAACAGTTTGCTGCCACACAGAAACATAACGTGAAAAATACTGTTTGAGTACTAGTTATAGCATTAAATCTCAATGTACAGCACACTAAGGACAAAGATCCTACATGAGGAGTAAGTGCACAGTGACTCCTGTTGTTGACTTAACAAATTGACACTCTTGTTTATGGCCTCAGTAATCACCCTAGGCTCTTGTCATGAGTTGCCAAGGCTATGGAAGCCCCCTGAGTTCACTGACTCTGATCATATTTAGACAAGGCCATGGTCAAAGTGGAAGTTCTCTCCTCCCTTCAGAGAAAGGTACCTCCTTCTTTGGTGACCCATTCTTTCCGCTGGGATCTCACTCGCAGAAATCTTTCATTTAGGTGTTTGTTTGTTTTTTTTTGTTTTGTTTTGTTTTTTTTTTTTTTTTTTGCCAGAGTGTCTTGGCTTTCCATGCCTGAAATACTCTCATGGGCTTTTCAGCCGGATCCGCATGCCTTAAGTGCTGATTCTGAGGCCAGAGTGCTGTTTAGGACATCTGCCATTCTATGGGTCTGCTGTGTAAATAAATAAACTTTTAAAAATTAAGAAAGAAGAGGATGACTAGTAAAAATGATTTTCCAACTATGAAAAATTACCTATATCCTCATTTTTAAATTCTATTGTCAAGTATTTGACACACTCAGGCTACCATTTCCCACCATTGCAAAGACTATTCAGCGTGATATCTGCAATATGACCTGATGTAATAAGAAATGTACAGTTTATGAGCTGCCAATACTGAGTTCTCTTTTCTTCCAAAGTTTTGGACCACTTCAGTTTTAGTCCTAGAAATCAATGGTTGACAATATATATTGTTCAACATTTTGTTCTAAGAGGAGTACTAGCTATAAGATACAAAGTGCTTATCAAGCACTTTATTAAATGCATATCTTCTGACTGCTTCCAAAGTAGAAATATTGTTGAGATTATTTCCACTCTCTCTAGAAGCTCTATGACTTTGTCAGAATTCCTTGATTATAAGGATGAGGAAAGGGAAGCCTATTGTTGATCAGTGATTTGCACAGTTCTCAAACTTAAGAGGCAGTATGAAGGGTATAATCCAACACTATTTGAATCCAATACTTTTCCACTTTAACATGCCATCTTCTAAATTCCTGAAGGCAGCAGGCCGTTCTAAAGAGCAGTTCTAGAATGGAGAAAGAAAAGAAAAGCAGGGAGTGTACAACTAGACATAAGTTGAGAGAGAAATTAGTTTTTTTTTGTCAGTACAGCAGATTAAAATTCCATCCATGTGTAGCATACTATTGCACAACTCAGGAGAGAAAGACACAGATCATGGCATAGTCATTCTTCTTGTACAGAGGACTAACCTGGTTCTGACTCTAGGGACAAGGCCAGGCTGGAAATTATGTTTCTCTCCATTTCTTTTTGTGTGTGTGTGTGTTCTTTTTTTTTTTTTGGACAGGCAGAGTGGACAGTGAGAGAGAGAGACAGAGAGAAAGGTCTTCCTTTGCCGTTGGTTCACCCTCCAATGGCTGCCGCGGCCAGCGTGCTGCGGCCGGCGCACCGCACTGCCGATGGCAGGAGCCAGGTGCTTCTCCTGGTCTCCCATGGGGTGCAGGGCCCAAGCACTTGGGCCATCCTGCACTGCACTCCCTGGCCACAGCAGAGAGCTGGCCTGAAAGAGGGGCAACTGGGACAGAATCCGGCACCCCGACTGGGACTAGAACCCAGTGTGCTGGCTCCGCAAGGTGGAGGATTAGCCTAGTGAGCTGCGGCGCCGGCCATTCTCTCCATTTCTTATAAATATATCTGGACTAAGGATGTATTCACTATTCATTCTGACTAGAGATACAGCAAGCATGAGACACTGCATGTGCGAGTTTGTTGGAGAAGGGTGTGCAAATTCAGTGGTGTTTTCTTGTTACCTTTAACTTAACCAGAAACTTTTATGTGTTGCTTACAAAAAAACAATTTAAAAAAAAAAAAAAAGGATTTATTGAAAGGCAGAGTAAGAGATAGAGAGAATCTTCCACCAACTGATTCACTCCCCAAATGGCTACAATAGCTCGGGCTGGTCCAGGCTGAAACTGGTAGCCAAAACTCCATCTGGGTCTTCCACATGGGTGGCATGAACCCAAGTACTTGGGTCACCATTTGCTGCCTCTCAGGCTCATTAACAAGAAGCTAGATAAGGCTGGTGCCACGGCTCACTAGGCTAATCCTCCGCCTTGCGGCGCCAGCACACGGGGTTCTAGTCCTGGTCGGGGCGCCGGATTCTGTCCCAGTTGCCCCTCTTCCAGGCCAGCTCTCTGCTGTGATCAGGGAGTGCAGTGGAGGGTGGCCCAAGTCCTTGGGCCCTGCACCCCATGGGAGACCAGGATAAGCACCTGGTTCCTGCCATCAGATCAGCGCGGTGTGTGGGTCGCGGTGCGCCAGCCACGGCAGCCATTGGAGGGTGAACCAACGGCAAAAGGAGACCTTTCTCTCTGTCTCTCTCTCTCACTGTCCATTCTGCCTGTCAAAAAATAAAAAAATAAAAAAAAAGCTAGATAAGATGTGAAATAATCAGGACTTGAGCGTGCTTAATTTGGTATCCCACAATGACAGCACCCAAATTCATCAGTTTTATGCATGGCACAGAGCATTAAGCATTGCTTAATCTTTCTAAGATCATTAAAAAGTACCTTAGAAAGATGGATCATTTTGAATATGGATTTTTCTTGCCAAATACTGCAGAGGTAGAAAGAGTTTGGATGTAATTTCACAACATAATTGATGATTTTTCTTTGGAGCTTATAGAATATATCAATAAATCTGTGTAGATAGATATGGATACATACACATTGGTTACCAACAGAATATATTTTCTAGTATTTCAACTGAAATTATCTTCTATTATAAAGAGTTTATGAATCAGACAATATGAATGCATGTGAGTTCAAATAAACCTTATTGGACTTGTTCCAGAAGTACATGTTCCAGAAGAATTGCTTTGGACAAATGGTCTTGTTTATCATTCATTTTTCTTTTGTATAAAGTTCAAAAAACTAAATGACACATCCAATAAAGTGCAGTTGAAGATATAAATATGTCATTAAAATTATATATGTGAGTTCCCACGTACTTTTTTGTTTTATGGTGACTATCATCTGCGGTAGCTACAATAGGAAACAGTGTAGGCACATGTTTTAATTCCTTATGTTATGCTGATCTCTAGTGGTTAGTTAGTATAACACACTGTAAAATAAAGTAATTTTTGGTTTAATTTTTGCTTAAAATAGAATTCATAGCATGGGAAAAAATTAGGATCCAAATTTTTAGGTAATGGATGTTTTCAATATTTTTGCCTACTTTTTGCCATTTCCATTTCTGCTCTTTTGAAAGCAAAATTTTGATTTATTCATCAACCTTCCACAGTATTGAACTGAATAGCTGTGGGACTGGCAAGACTGAGGCACACTCTGTATTTTATTTCTTCCTTATATGTGATCCTCCTCTCTGCAGTTTCAGTTACTTGTGGTAAGCTACAGTATGCAATATTTAATGGAAAATTCCAGAAACAAACAATACATCAATTTCTAATTACATGCTATTGTCAGTAGCATGATAGGCTTGTGTCATACCGTGCAAGGCATGAATTATTACTCTGTACCATGTGTCCACACTGTATAAGGGTACTTCAAAAAGTTTATGGAAATGAAATCAAAGCATAAGTTTTAGTTTTGAAATCCACACATACTAGAGTTTTTCAAAAAGTTCATGGGAAATGCTTATAATGAAAATATTAGGAGTGATTTTCAAAAAATTTGGCCACCAAGTGAGCTTACTTTTAATTCAGTTTCTGTATTTAAAAATATTTGACTGGCATAAAAATTATATATATTTATTGATATCACATGATATTCCAATGCATGTATACATTGTGTAATGTGAGGGTAACAAAAAATGCTTTACATTACTAGTCATCAGGAACATACATATCAAAACCACTATGAGGTTTCTCTTCTAGTTAGATATGCTGTTACCAAAAGGAAATGAAAACAAGTGCTGACAAACATGTGAAGGAGCACTTACACATTGCCGATTGGGATATAAATTGGTACAGCCATTGTGGAAAACAGTTTGGAAGCTCCTCCGAAAAAAACCAGAACTACCATATGATTCTGCAATTGCATCTCCAAAGAAAATGAAATTAGTCTGTCCAAGAGACATATGTACTTCTATGATTATTGTTCTACATTTTGAAGTGTCTTCACATACGGTACTCATACAGAAGTCATTTAGTAGCTCTCAGGATTATCAAATACACTGTTGGGGTCTCATGATGCTTGTATTCAACTAACCATTTTTTTTAACTCAGTAATGACTTCAAAGCACAAAAGAGTGATCCTGTGAATTGGACGTGCTAAAGAGAAGCTGTAAAATGTTTCGTTTAAGTGAAAAAGTGAAATTGCTGAGTAAATAAGGAAAGAAAAGAAACTCATGCTGGTGTTGCTAAAATCTATGCCAAGAATAAATCTTTTATTGTGAGAAGAAACCAATGTCATTTGCTCTCATATACTCAAGATGCAAGAGTTACAGTTATGGTGTGATAAGTGCTTGATTAAGATCAAAAGGGCATTTAATTGCAGGGTTCAGTATTATCTGTGGTTTCTGGCATCCACTGGGGGTGTTAAAAGGTATCTGCTGAGGATAAGGGAAGACTACTAAATTGCTGAATGATGAATTGCAAGGTTGGTTAGAGAAAAACAAGCATACCTATCAATGATTAATGTTCATTATGTATAAGGCATGGAAATAATTCTATGGAAAGCATTTGCTTCAATCCTCATAAAATTCTACTATTGTAAAGATTGTTGGCCCCATTTTATGGATGAAGAACTTAGGTTTTGGGGGATATTCTACAACTTACCCAAAATCACATGAAGAGCAAGTGGCAAGGATGCACATGCAGCTCTATTTGTCTTAACTGGGCCTATTTCTGCTCTGCATTTCAACCTGCCCACATCTCCTAGATGATATTTCCGTTGAAACGCTTATTTACTAAAACAAGAAAGTAGGGATAACCTACACTGTTTTACTATAAAATGTTACATGTACAATTTTTGAAATATAATTATTTTTCCATTACAGCTCACAATGTTTACAAGATTCCCTCATTATGTTACAGTGTAACCATAAGTGTAAGTAAATATTTTGTTATGTCTCCTTCAAGTTTTCAGTTTAAAATTCTAAGAGGAGCATGTAAGTCCCTTGGGCATTTTCTCACTATTCAATTTTCATGGTCAAAAGAAACCTAACAAAGTAAAGTAGATATTCTCTCTTCATTTATTTGAACAGTATGTGGAACAAAGCTAGTGGCCCAAGACGTCAGTCCCAGGATTGTTGGAGGGACTAATGCCAACGAAGGGGCCTGGCCCTGGATTGTTGCTCTGCACTACAACGGTCAACTGCTCTGCGGTGCTTCTCTAGTTAGCAGAGACTGGCTGGTGTCTGCTGCCCACTGTGTGTATGGGTAAGTAGCATGTCACATGTCCCTTCCCAGATAAGGTCATCAGAGCAGGCATTGCCAAGCATCCCATTTCATGCAAACTCACTAAACTCTTCCATCGGGGGTGCATTTGGTGCAGCAAATTCGGATGCCTGCATCCCATATCAGAGTGCCTGGTTCAAGCCGTGACTTTGCTCCCGATTCCAGTTTCATGTTAATGTGCACCTTGGGAAACAGTAGGTGATAGATCAAGTGTGTAGGAAACCTGAGTTGGTTTCTCAGCTTAAGCTGGCCTTAACCCCAGCTGTTGTGAGTATTTGGGGCAGTGAAATACTAAGTGGGAGATTCTCTCTCTCTCTCTCTCTCTCTCTCTCTCCCTCCCTCCCTCTCTTTCTCTTCCCCTTAAATAAATTAACATTAATCAATAAATAAGTAAATAAAATTTAGAACTAATGTCATGCATTTCTAACTTCCTTTTTATAAAATAACAGGGCAAAATTCCCTTTAAAGCCTGGAATTTACTTGCTTTTCTTACACACAGCCATTCCTAAGGCAGTACCACAGGAAATAAAGGGGTGAGTAGAGAGAGATGGGGGAAAGGAAAAAGATATGAATGATCTTGGGCCCAAAAACATGTTAATTATCTTCTTTCACATGAGTTGACACCTCTAGATAGCCACATCCAAACAGTTCTGAATTTTTTCAGAAAAAGATCAGCATCCTCATATTTTTGCACCTAACCTAGGACTGATTCCCTGAGCCTCACCAAATAGGGGCTACCTCCAGTGAATGACGTCATCTATGAGGATTAGGAGCACCAACTTGCAGCCTGCATCCAGAATCTCAGAGGAAAGAGCCACGGGCACACACGTGTGAACTAAACAGCTGTGGTTACTCAGGTTAAATACACTTAACTATGCTACCAACAAAGACACTGAGAGCTCTCTGTTGAAAACAGATGAATTATCAGACTCTGAGGTCTGGGAAAGTTTTAGGGGTCATAGGGAGAACCAGGGGGAATCAGCATGAAAGGATTGAGCCTATGTCTAAAAACACATCACGATAGTACGAATAGATTGGATGTCCAACCCCAAGAATCTGTAGAATCAGGACTCTGGGCCTGATTCCTACCTGGCCCACTAGCTGGCATCCAGAGGAACTGTCAGGGTACTGCCCCATCTACATCTAAAGTGCTTTCTGATTCTGTGCATTCAATGCTCCATGTAGGTGACTAGGTTGCAACCTCACCAACAGCTAAAGAATGTTGCTGCCTCATCATTATATTTTAACCTGTTTTCAATCATAATACAACAAACATCTGCAGCAGGCCATTTTTCCATTCCCTGGTAACCTTGGCTTTTTACAACATCTGTACATACGAGGGGTCTCCACAATATTCATGAAAATGTGTATTATGAGAATACTATACACAGATTTCAAAAATATTTTGCATCAAAACAAATCTTTCAATTACATTTTTCACAAAACTTCTTGAAGTTCCCCTGTATTTTTGTTTTTGTGTGTGTGTGTGTGTGTGTACTACAGGTGAGTAACATCTATATCCTAAGTGTGCTGCAAATAAAAAATATTTTTTGCTCAAGATTCAGCATTTTCTATTGCACATAGACAGGACTTAGTAAGTCAGCAACCTTGCTCTATTAACCTCTGATTTAATAAATTTATGTTTGATATTCTTACATACACTTGCTAAATGTTAACCAGACTTCCATAATATTAGTGATGTCTTTCAATTATCTATTAATGACTTGCATAATATTAGTGCCATCTTTGTAATTATCTATTATAAATGTACTTATTATAGGTCAATGACACCAATAATATATCTCTTCAAAGTACAAATATATGAAGGAATAGAGAGTTTCACTTAATATAAACACATGTGCAGTCACATCGGACATAAAATGTTTTTCAAATAGATTTGATTTGAGCAGAAGCTAAGAAAGCTATATTAGAACTGTGATGAATTAAAAATTATCCTTCCCAACCCTGCATTTTACTCTTCTTAGCCACTCAGTGGAATTATTTCTTGGTTTTGACATGATTTTCTTGTTTCATACTTCATGTCTTTAAGAAAATAAAAATGTTTTTGACACTGATGTAGATACTTCAAGAGAAAGCATTTTTAGCAGTATGCTAATATTGCCTGTTGTATTTTTAAAGTTGTATGTGTGCAGATAGAAACTTATTAACGTCCTCCCCGAAAGAATAACCCACATGGAGCTGGGCTGGGCAACTCTTGCCCCGTCTTTAATCTTATTGTCACCACTGTCATCCACGTCCTTCAGTTCTCAGTGCTCCCAGATGTTCCTAAATATCCCTGTGCCTGTTCTGCTTCTCTACCAATGACCTGCCCTTTACAACCTTAGAAGGTGAATTGGTAAAAGTATGGACCAACTTTGCTATCATTTAAAGGCTAGATTAACTTTAAACCAGAGCACAGAATTGTCGTTTTATGTATGAGACTGACCCCGTGTGACTGCAGAGGAGCAATTTAAGATCTCTGAACTTTAGTTTCTCTCTCTCTCTCTCTTTTTTTTTTTTTTTTTTTTTGGTTAAGATTTATGTATGTATTTGAGAGTCAGAGTTACAGACAGAGATAGGGAGAGACACAGAGAGATCTTCTGTTCACTGGTTCATTCACCAAGTGGCTGCCATGGCCTGGAGCTGGGCTGATCTAAAGCCAGGAGCCAGGAATTTCTCCCGGGTCTCCCATGCAGGTACAGGGCCCCAAGCACTTGGGGCATTTTCTACTGCTTTCCCAGGCCTTCATCAGAGAATTGGATCGCAAGTGGAGCAGCCAGGGCTCGAACCAACGCTCATTGGAGATACAGTGCTATGGGCAGATGCCTAACCTACTACGCTACAGCACTGGCCCCTGAACTTTAGTTTTTGCATCTGTGGGGTGGCCACAAGGATTTCAACTTCCCAAGTTGATTGTCAGAACAAAATCAAGATGTTGCAACCCTTTTGCATATTGTGAATCATGCAAATGGACAATACAATTTTTATTTTGCTGCATTTCCTGCATAAGAAACTCTGTGAAAGGAGAATATAAGCCTCCTACACTTAGATATTCATCATATTTGTTTTCTGAACTTTTTCACATTGATATAATTTCACACTGCATAAAAATGGCAAGAAGTGTATAGAGAACTCATTTTTTTTTAAGTTTTTGACAGGCAGAGTGGACAGTGAGAGAGAGAGGCAGAGAGAAAGGTCTTCCTTTGCTGTTGGTTCACCCTCCAATGGCCACCGCGGCCGGCGCGCTGCGGCCGGTGCACCATGCTGATCTGAAGGCAGGAGCCAGGTACTTATCCTGTTCTCCCATGGGGTGCAGGGTCCAAGGACTTGAGCCATCCTCCACTGCACTCCCTGGCCACAGCAGAGAGCTGGCCTGGAAGAGGGGCAACCGGGACAGAATCCGGCTCCCCGACCCCCCGACCGGGACTAGAACCCGGTGTGCCGGCGCCGCAAGGCGGAGGATTAGCCTAGTGAGCTCGTTTATAACTTTACCTAGATTCAAAATTTTCTTACATTTTACTCCGTTTACATTGTTTTTTCAACTTCTCCAAATCTGGAAGCATATTTTTCTTCTGAACCATTTGGTAATGCATTCAGTATTATTCTTATCACTCTTAAATACTTCAGGGTATTGTTATTAAGAACTGGACTCTAAAATACTTATTTTCATTTTATTTGAAATGCTGAAAGATACAGAGACAGAGAAATGGCACCAGCCAAAACAGCACTGTTCTGACTATCACAAATTACTTACCTTTTTGGTCAAGCTTAGACACAAAACATAGTTTAGGAACTTTATTGTGGGGGCTGGCGCCGTGGCTCACTTGGTTAATCCTCTGCCTGCGGTGCTGGCATCCCATATGAGCGCCAGTTCTAGTCCCAGTTGCTCGTCTTCCAGTCCAGCTCTCTGCTGTGGCCCGGGAAGGCAGTGGAGGATGGCCCAAGTGCTTGAGCCCCTTCACCCGCATGAGAGACCAGGACGAAGCACCTGGCTCCTGACTTCGGATCAGCATAGCTCTGGCCATAGTGGCCATTTCGAAGGTGAACCAACAGAAGGAAGACCTTTCTGTCTGTCTCTCTCACTGTTTAACTCTAAGCAAATCTAAAAATCAGAATTCAGTATTTATTTTTTATTCTTTGTTCCTGTTGATGTATAGAAAATGTGTAATCAAGACATAAAATGTTTCCATCACCTAGAAACTTCTTCCTTGGACCTTCCCCAGCAAACACTATCGCTGCCTTCAGAAAGTCAGTTGAGTAGAGAGTCGCATGTTGTAAATATGTGGTCTGGATCACATGCATTGAGTAGTGTATATTAAAGATGAAATTAGCCTTAGAAATCCTCCTGCCAATATCCTACCCTTTAATTTAACTCTTCGGAGGAGACCAAGTTGATTACTTCATTCCTGATTAAAACAATTCCTTGAAAGAAGTGTTAGCATTCCAGAAATAGATGATATTGTACATGAAATATTTAGAATATGGTAATTAATAAGCATTATTATTTTTACTTACTGTTAAATTTATTAAGGTGATAAGCTAAGAAAACTTTGAATAGCAACTTTTTGCACAGTAAAGCCCTGATTCTAGATAACATTACTTAACTACTTGGATTACTATTTAAAATTTTTTCAGATTCTTTTGAATTCTTTCATCACATTAAGTAAAACAGATTACATATAAATATAATATGTTTAAATATTTAATTTCTATTTGAATTACTATATGTGTGTATATTAAACCATATGGTTTTAATTTCAGGTCTCTATCTAGACCTATGGCTTCAGGAATTTAGAACAAAGCACAATAGTCTTCTTCAGGTTGCAGAAATACCGTAACACCACTTAAAGATCATAGTAATTTCTGCAAATCGAAAAGAGGAAGAGCTTTTCTTAGGACAGTACAGATTTCAAGAATGGATTACTGATATTGATTTTCTTTTAGTGCATAGATCTTGGTTCTTTTTCTAAATTATTTGATGT